GTCACTTGCCTGTGCCAGTGATTCCTGACCACCTGTGCCCAACAGCACCTGCCTGTGCCAGTGATACCTGACCGCCTGTGTCCATGGCACCTGCCTGCTGTGCCAGTGATTCCTGACTGCTGTGCCAGTGATTGATGCCTGTGCCAGTGATTCCTGACTGCTGTGCCAGTGATACCTGCCTGTACCCACGGCACCTGCCTGCCTGTACGCACAGCACCTGCCTGCTGTGCCAGTGATACCCGCCTGTGCCAGTGATTCCTGCCTGTACCCACAGCACCTGCCTGCTGTGCCAGTGATACCTGCCTGTGCCAGTGATTCCTGACTGCCTGTGCCCATGGCACCTGCCTGCCTGTGCCCACAGCATCTGCCTTCCTGTACCCACAGCACCTGCCTGCTGTGCCAGTGATACCTGCCTGTGCCAGTGATTCCTGACTGCCTGTGCCCATGGCACCTGCCTGCCTGTGCCAGTGGCACCTGACTGCCTGTGCCCACAGCATCTGCCTTCCTGTGCCCACAGCACCTGCCTGCCTGTGCCAGTGATACCTGCCTGTCTGTGCCAGTGGCACCTGCCTGCACCCATGGCACCTGCCTGCTGTGCCAGTGATACCTGACTGCCTGTGCCCACAGCATCTGCCTTCCTGTGCCCACGGCACCTGCCTTCCTGTGCCCACGGCACCTGCCTGCCTGTGCCAGTGGCACCTGCCTGCTGGGCCAGTGATACTTCCCTGCCTGTGCCCACGGCACCTGCCTTCCTGTGCCCACGGCACCTGCCTCCCTGTGCCAGCAGCACCTGCCTGCCTGTGCCAGTGATACCTGCCTGCTACGCCCGTGGCACCTGCCTGCCTGTGCCAGTGGCACCTGCCTCCCTGTGCTGGGCATTTCACATGGCAGGCAAACTCTTAAGCCTGGCTTAAGCACAGAGAACTAGCACCTCAGCCTCAGAACGTCTCTGCATGACTGCCCAGCAGTGCTAAGGCAATCCCATCCCAATCCCAGGAGCAGCAGCACCAGGGGACTACGAACACATCCTGGGCACTCCTCTCAGTGTGGCTTTCTCCACCGTGCCTTTTCCTCTTTGTTTGTGCTTTCCTTGTACACTGCTGTCCCACAGCTGGTGACTCCTGCTGCAGGACTAAGCTGTCACAGCTCACTGTGGTGGGCTCCTGCTTCTCCATCCCCCATGGCCAACTACAGAGACCAGGAAGCATAAATAATTGGAAATAAATACGCAGGGAATATCAGCTCTCTGGCAATGAAACAATGCTGAGGCAACAAAAACTGAAGAGTTTTATCTGTCTGCAATCCAAAAGAATTCCAACACGATCTTGACAGAGAAGCCTAAATAAAAACTTCAAGGGAAAAAAGATATTCCACTTTAAAGCAAAGCTACCTAATCATATGTTTTCATGGAAATGTTTTGCCATGAGACAGTTCCTGGGGAGAAGCCCCATCTACAAGAGCAAACTCAAAACCACAGCATTGGACACGAGCTCTGCAGCATTGGGAACTGGCTCAAATACTCTGAGGTCACATGCCACACAATTAGAGGCACCCACCAAGGCTGCCATCACTGCCTCAGTTAGCCCTGTGACAAACCACCTTCTGCATCATCCAGCCTGCTTGAAACAAACAGGACTTGTACAGCCATTTATCCCATGGAGACATGCTGCCCAGCTCAGGGCATGGTGTGCCCAGCCTGTGCCCCAGTGGCCGGGTGGGAGGGGCACACAGCCCTCAGACACCTCAGGGAGCATTCATGGTGTGCCCAGCCTGTGCCCCAGTGGCCAGGTGGGATGGGGCACATGGGCAGGGAGCCCTCAGACACCTCAGGGAGCATTCATGGTGTGCCCAGCCTGTGCCCCAGTGGCCGGGTGGGATGGGGCACATGGGCAGGGAGCCCTCAGACACCTCAGGGAGCATTCATGGTGTGCCCAGCCTGTGCCCCAGTGGTCAGCGAGCCACATGGGATGGGGCACATAGGCAAGGAGCCCTCGGACACCTCAGTCATCCTCACACCAACCTGTGCCCACAGGGCAGGACACAGCTCCTGCCACCACAGCATGTCACCACAGCACAGACCTCTGGCTGGTGGAGCCCAGAGCCCCAGCCAAGGGACCTGGGGTGGCCCAGGGGACCAGCAGCTGTCTTTGGCTCCAGGGGCTCAGGGCCAGGGCCCTCTCCAAGAGCCCTGCCTTCTCCTCTCCTCACCTCACCCGCTCCCCTGTGAATACCAACCCCTTCCCTTCCTCTGCAGCCGCAGCTCTCAGAGAACCGACAGCAAGAGCTGCCACAGAAAACAAAAGGATGGCCATCACTGTTCCATGCTGGGCTGCAGGCATCAGCCAGCCATGTCTGTGCCCAGCACCCAGCCAGGCAGCCCATGGGCTATGGGGGACACAGCCGAGGTCTGCACCCTCCTCGGAGCCCACTGAGAGCCACAGCAGCTCCAGAGACCTGCACCCAGCACACAGACCCAGCCCTGCAGCAGGGAACATCCTCCCAGCCTGGGTCTGGGCACTGCAGAGGAATTCCGTAACCCACCTTACTTCAAGATTAGTCATTCTGTTTTCAGAACGACATCTCAAACTCCAGACTACCAGAAGGTATATCTGACTAATTTGAAGCAAATGTTTCTATTTTGCTGCAAAGTGCATGATTATTTGATACAAACTTTCTAGAAAGAATGGTTCACTCTTCAGCAACAAACCTTATACTTTGGAAAAGGTTTGGATTTGATTTCCCAGGCTTGAGCATGTCTCCAAGCACTGCTCCTGTTTGACTAAATTTCTCCCTGCTACCCAGTCACACAGGCAATAAGCTTTTGTTTCCGAAGCATTTTAGGTAACTACCTCAAGAATAGTTTTTATTTAAAACAAACACACACACATAAGCCTCTCCCAGCACAAACTTCATCAGATAGTGTCAGCAAGCGTGGTTTAATAGCATGATATTGAAAAGTAATTTTACTACTAGCTAGAAAAGTCTGAAGACTGCAGAGGATATATTTAGATGCGTATAAATAGACAACACTCAGTGATGTCTGGTCCAAAGAGTACAAATCTTCCCTAATGCATGGAATACGCCTGGCCCAAAACGCTTGAGCAGCACTTACACAGCCTTTTCAGTCTGGCTCGGGTTCTGAGCCCGCTAATAGCGAGGCCATTAGAGCGGCGCTCGGCCCAGCTGCTTGTGCAGGGAATATGCAAAGATTGCTCCATAAAACCCAGCCTCACCACATCTGAAAGCACAGGCAGATCAATCAGCAGTGCAAAGCCATTATCTCTCCAGCCTCTGAACTACCCCACGTGCCCCAGCGGAGGGACAGGCCCTCCAGGCACCTGGGCATGCTCCACCTACCCAAGGCAGGCACCCAGTGTGCCAAGGCCATCCTTCCAACGCACCCGCCTTTGCATCCCCTCCAGTCTTTCTCAGAAAATTAAGGAAGTTCTGTTTTTCCTCGCCATGCTGCTCAGCCACATCTCTTCTTGGGTTGCCCACATCCCCAGCCAGCCCCGGTCCTGGGCCAGGAGGCACCTCTCAGCCTCCTCCCCCTGGCCCCACTCACACCTTCAGTGGCCAACAGGAGCCTCTCCAGACAACAGACCCGCATGAAACATTCAAACCAAGCCCCTGGGGCACCATCCTGAGCAGAGCTGCAGTGAGTGCAGCTTCTCGTGGCTGTAGGGATGAGACGAGCACTCAGCCCACCAGCTCTCACTGGGATAGGACAATCTGGAGCCCACTTCCATATCTGCATGTCTTTGGTGGAATGGGTCAATCTCAAGTCTCCTCCTGCACCTGGAAGTGTCTGCTGAACAGAACTAGTTCAGCTTTAACTTGCACTGGGTACCTGACATATCCAGGATGTGCTTCCACTGACTGCCCTGCCATGATAAAACCAAGAACTGCTCTTTCTGAAAGCAGAAATATGAGGTAATATGCCAGGAGATGTATCTTAGAGAGGCTTGTAACTGGAGGCCAAACTGGCAAGTTCTGGTGTGCATTATGATCCAGCCTCACACATTTAAACACATTTATTATGCATTTAAACAAATGCATAATCCCTTGAGTACAGTATATATTTAGCAGCGTGGATTGGGAAGGTGTTGGGCACTGAGAACACTCAGTCTCTGCTACGGCTGCTTGTGCAAAACCAAAGCTGACTCGCAGACCAGCAGTGGAATTGCCAGGCCTGGCACACCTCTGCCTGCCAGGACCCACTCTGGAATACCAGAGCCCACGGGCCAGCTCCGAGGGTGGCTGTACACAGGACCAGGGTGCCCTTGGAGCCCTAGTCAGCACACACAGCCCCGAGCACGCAGCCCCAGGCAGCTGGGATGCAGCCCTGCACAGCAGGACAGACCAGAGCCAGCACACACAGTCCATCTGGGCAGCACTGCCCCATGCTCCTGGACACAGCCACAGCCAGGATCGCTGCTGCCAGGCCAGCCCGGACCCTCCATCTGTAGAGGCACAGCTGGAGCCAAGCAGGCTTCAATTCCAGCACGGATCCACCTGGCCTCGCCAGCCCGGCTGTGCCGGCCCGAGCAGCCCTGAGCACGCAGGCTCGCCCGAGGATGCTCAGAAGGAACGAGCTGGCACCACGTGTCACACAGGAACATGCGAAATGGAAGCGTGGGTGGGGAGCATCACCACCAGCACGACAGCGCGATGGCCAAGGGCAGGGACACCCAGCCTGTCCGGCTCCACGGCACTCAGCCAAAGGCCACACGGGGCTGGGCTTGGCTGGGGGCACCTGCTGTCCCACCCCTGGTCTGCAGGACTGCTGAGGCCGAGTTCATGACCACAGCTGGAACCAACACATGCCTCTGCTCCACACACACAACATAATGAGTGCCCCGGAGATGCAACAGACTGGAAGGGAGGAAAGGAAGAGCTGCTGTGCCAGGATGCAGAGGAGCCGCAGAGCCGGTGTTCCCCGGTCCATGCTGGGAAGGACCAGCCCGGGAAGAGGCTTGCCCGGTGCACCTGGCCCAGACATGCCGGTTCCCGCACGGCAGCCGGGCTCCCGGAGCCGCCGGGGCTGGTGCTCCGACACCAACATGGCTGCGAGGCTCCGCCGGCTTCTCCGCCGCTGCTCCGCCATCTCCCCAGCGGGAACCTTCCGGCGGGGAAGGGCCATTCTGTCCTACATTCCTTCTCCCGCACACGGCGCCGTTCGCCACGGAGGGGGCGGAGGGCACGAAGGAGAGGGGGGCGCACCGCATCTCGGGACGCAGGGGACCGCGGCGGCCCTGGGGACAGAGCCGCGGGGAGAGCGGGGTGCGTGTGGCAGCCAGGGGCGGTGGGACGGGGCGGGAGGACCGGGGCGGGGGAGCCGCGGGGTTCCTGCGCCCTCCGGCAGAGCCCCGCGCCCCGCGAGAGCGCCCCGGGATGGCTACGCGAACAGCGGCGCCTCCGCCCGCTCGGGCAGCGCCGCAGCGCCAGCGGTGCCGGTAACCGGGCGGCGGCGGCGGCGGCAGCGCGGCGCGGAGGGGGCGGCGGCCGCGGCACGGGCGGCCCCGCAGCATCGCAGCCTGGCAGCATCTCCGGCCCCGCAGTATCCCCAGCCCAGCCCAGCCCAGCTCAGCGCGGGCAGCCGCCGGCGCCGTCCCGCGGGCAGCGGCGGCAGCGCGGCCAGGCCCGGCCCGGCCCGTCCGCGGGCACCCGCCCCGCCGCTCCGCGCTCCCCGCGGCCGCCGCCCTCCCGGGAAGGGCGTCGTCCCGGCGCCCCCGCCGCGCCCTGGGGTCGTCCTGACCGGGACGTTCAGCACCGGCCGGGCCGCCCCTCACCTCCCCCCCCGCCCCGTCCCCTGGGCCGGTACCGCGGTGCAATGCAGATGTGCCGGGAGCGACTCCCCTCGCGTTACCTGGTGCCTCCGGGGACGGGCGGCGGCCGGAGCGCGTCCCCTGCGGGTGCGGCCGCGGCCGGGCCCCGGCGGGCTGCGGGCGCTGGCGGCAGGCGGGCTGCCCGCCGCTCCGCCCCGAGCCGGCGCTCACCCCCCGCATCCTACCGCGGCTCCGCGGCGGAGCTGCCCGCGGCCGGGACGGGCACGGCGGCCCGGGGACGGCCCCGCGCGGCGGCCGGGGCGGGCGGCGGCACATGCACACACGCGCGGCGGGGGCGGAAGGCGCGGGACAACCCGCCCGCATCGGCCCGTCCGCATCGCCCCGCACCGGGCAGCCCGCCCCGCTCTGCTCCCGCCGGCGCTGACCTTGTCGCGTACCTGCGCCAGGTTAATCCTCGCCAAGCGCTGCCGCTCCGCACCCCGCTACGGGATCCTGCGCGCCGGGCGCCGCGCTGGACGGACGGACGGATGGACAGACGGACGCGGCCGAGGCGCGGGCAGCCCCGCCGCCGGGCCGGCGCCTCCCGGGTGCGGGTGCCGCTAGCGCGGGGCGGCCGGCGGCAGGGCCATGCGGCTCCGCGCCGCTCCGCGCCGGGCGCGCTCAGGCGGAGCAGCCGCGGCGGCGGGCGCTGCGGCGGGGCAGAGCGGGGAGCGCGGCGCCCGCGGCTCGGCCCTCCGCGGCGGCGGCAGCTGCGCCCATCCTCCGCGCCGCCGGCCTCCGCCCGGCCCCGGCCCCGGCCCCGGCCGCGGGCAGCCGCGCCGCTCGCTGCCGCATGGAGCAGCCGCCGCCTCCCCCGCGCCGCGCCGCGCCGGGGCGGGCTGGAGCAGCCGGGCCCTCCCCGCCCCGCCGCACGCACGGCTGAGCCGCAGCCGCCCGCCCGACCGCCGCCGCCGCCGCGCAGACGTGCGGCCGGGCCGCCCCCCGCCGCGCCGGGCTCGGGGCCGCGCGCCGCCGGGCGGGACCAGGCGCGGGCACCGGCGCGGAGACGGACACGCCTCCGCCTGCCCCGCCACGCCGGGGCCGGGCTGCGGCGACGGGCGCCGACAGCGGCCGCGGCCCCCGGGGCACCCCACAGCCCTCCCGGGGCCAGAGCCCCGCCCCGGGTCCGGAGCGGGCGGGGGCGGCGCGGCCGCGGGCGGTGCGCGGAGTTTGAGCTGGCGATCGGTCCGGTGGATGCACCGGCGGAACCGTCCCGCGGGGCGGGAGCGCGGCCGCAGCTCCGCTCCGCTCCACCCTCGGGGCACGCAGCTGCCCGCATCCTGCCCGTGCCCCGCCGGTGCGCGGGCACGGACTGCAACACCGCGCTTCTAGGAGGGATGGTCCTGGCAGCAGAAGGAAACGCTGGGTCATCTGTGGGGGCAGTAAACTGGAGCGCTTTTGGGGATTACGGCATCGTTACCTGTCTCCTGGATCTCTAACAGGGAGGAGGAGAGTGCATTTCGTGCTATGGAACACGGGCACCCTTTTCTAGTGCTCTTTTGCGGGAAAACGCCGGGGATGTTGCAGGACCCGAAGAAGAGGAGCTCTGCCTGCAGAGCCTGGAAGAGGAGCTAATTAACGAACCTCGTCAGCGGGCAGTGACCCCGCACCTGGAGGGATGTGCAGGCGCTGCCCTGCCACCACCGGGCAACGGCCCCGTCTGCCCCGACACCCTTCCCCTGGCGCGGGAGGCATTGCCGGCTCCTCCGGGGCTGCCCCGGGACTCTGCAGCCGCCACCGCCGCCGAGGGTGCGGGAGAAAACCCACGGACTGCTCGGCAGCTCGGAGGCAGCGGGAGCAATGCTGCCGGGACACATCTTCTGCCTGGGGATGCACATGGTGGGAGCCCCGTTCCAGGAACGGGAAGGAGACGTGGCAGTCCTCATGCCTCTCTGCTGATACCATGCCAAAGTTTTTTGGGATATAGTGTCTGGCTGGGTAAGGGTGAGAAGAGGGAGCGCATCGGTATTCCTGGGCTCAGGGCTGTCCGTGTGACCTGAGAACTTGGAAGTGGTCTCCACAGCAGCTCGTGACCCTGGTCTCGCAAGGAACACAGAGCTGCATCATCCTCTGTCCTCCTGGCAGCCTCTGAAGCTGTCCAGGGCAGGGCTGCCAGGCTGAGCCTCTGTTAGTGTTTATCTCCAAGTGCCAGCTGCTGTTCCACAGAGCTCGTTCGAGCTGTTACAGGGGAGAGGGGCTGGCAGGAGGAAATGAGTCTAAATCTTCTCTCCCTCAATGAACTCATGTCAGCTGGCTTTGCTGGGGCGGTCCTGCCCCGCGCGCACTCCGAGCACCGGTCTCCTTTGGAGCTGGAGGCACTGTCGTGCTCAGCCCTGATTTGGCGTTCACAGTGTGCTCCCCTGTGGAGAGAGAAGAGAGACAATAAGATGCTCCCTGGTAAAGCATCCGTGGTCTTGACTGGCATCCACCAGCGTCTTGGGCTTCAGGTTCAAGCATTTGCCGCTCTGTCAGTTCTCTGGTGCCCCAGAAGCAGGGAGGCTGGCATGCCAGTGATGCCAGCAGTGTGGCTGCTGTTGGCAGGGGAGGCAAACATCGGGGTACAGCTTCCCTGGCCATAGGAACATGGAGAAGCTCGGTGGAAATGCAGTGGAAGCATGTGCCCAGAGCCTCGTGTGCACTGGGGGTGCACTGGTTTGCACCGTCCGGCACAAACACACTGTGAGGGCTGGTTCAGACCTCTCTGAACTGGTACCAGCCCAGGAGCTGCACATCCTGGCAGCCAAAGCAATGTCCTGTGCTCTCTGGCCTCAGGTGTTCGAGCAAGGGCTGCTGCATCTTCTGTCAGCCTGAAATCCCTCCTGGACATGAGACTGACACCAGCAGCTAGTTACTGTACCCAGGGGGAGAACTGCCCCTCCCTGGGGCGCCCCGGAGTGTGGGAGCTGTGGGTGTGTGGGGAGGTTCGCTCGCTCCTGGCTGGGATGGACAGCCCGTCTGTCTGATCCTGGACCCAGACCTGAGGGACAGTGTGTGGCTGCTGTGCCGTGCAGCTCTCACCCAAAACTGCTCCCCTCCCTCTTGTTCCCCCCTCCCTGGGCTCTCTCCTGGGGTGTTCCTGGCTGCCCCAGTGACTCTGTGGGGTGTCTGTGCCTGAATGCTCGCTGCAATGCCCAGGGACAAGGGGACAGGCTGTGCTGGACAAACCTCAGTGCCCTGGGGAGGGCCAGCTCTGTGTCCTGGCATTGTTCTTCCCAGTGCCTGGCAGTGTACCTCATGGACAGCACTGTCCTGCGTGGCCCTGGCACTGGGGATGCTCAGGATTACTCAGGTGAGCTCTGCCCAGGATTCACCCTGACTTGGGCACCCTCACCCTGCTGGGCTCAGTCGCCTCCCCTACTACCCTTCTGAACAAGCTGGGGGTTTTGTCTTGCTCTCTCCAACTAATGTTAAAATGCTTTTTTACTGGAAACCTGAAATCTTTAACCTGAAATCTTTTTCCCCTCACAGGTATAATTTTAAAATTATTTCATAACTTCCTTTTCTTGGTTGAAATAATGAGACCTGGAGGAAAGTGCTTTGTTTAAATAACACAAAGAGCTCTTTTATGCACTTTGTAACCCTCAGTCACCTCCGGAAGGAGGGATCTGGGGCCTTGGCACAGTGCCACGGTGCTGCAGCTGCTGGCGACAGGGTGTCTGAGCACCCCGGTGCCACAGGGGGCTGCTGTCCCTCATCCCTTCAGAGTTCCTCCCCAGCCCCAGGCCACAGCCCCGAGCAGTGCTCTGAGGTGTCCCCAGAGCCAGCAGCGTCCCTGGGAGTTGCTGCCGGACCTGGGGCACCGGAGGGGCAGGGTGCCTGTGGCGGCGGTGGTGGCAGCTGTGCCAGGAGCTGCTCGGGGATAATGTCACTGTGCACTGAGCACGGCTCTGAGCCTGGCTCCATCACTGTGCACTGAGCACGGCCCTGATCTCAGCTCTCCATCACTGTGCACTGAGCACGGCCCTGATCTCAGCTCTCCATCACTGTGCACTGAGCACGGCTCTGAGCCTGGCTCCATCACTGTGCACTGAGCACGGCTCTGAGCACGGCTCCATCACTCTGCTCTGATCTCGGCTCTGATCTCAGCTCTCCATCACTCCGCTCTGATCTTGGCTCTCCATCACTGTGCACTGATCTCGGCTCTGATCTCAGCTCTCCATCACTGTGCACTGATCTCAGCTCTCCATCACTCCGCTCTGATCTCGGCTCTCCATCACTGTGCACTGTTCTCGGCTCTGATCTCAGCTCTCCATCACTCCGCACTGATCTCGCACTGATCTCCGCTCTGATCTCGGCTCTCCGGGCCCCTCCCCAGCTCGGAGCCGGTATCGTGTGCCGCGTGTACACCCTAAAGGAGAGCAGCAGCACTGCAGGGCAGCGGCGCCGGGATCCGCAGCTCCCGACAGCCCGGCGGGAGGCACGGCAAGAGGCAGTGAGTGCATGGTGCTGCTTGGGAGAGACCGTGGTACCTCATCAAAAGTGTCTGCGGCCGGCAGTGCCTGTTCATCCTCACGAGGAGGAAATTCGCTGCCCTAATCACCGAAATGTCAAATGTCACATTGCGTGAAGTGCATTTCTCTCCCCTGCAGCACCTTGGAGACGAGCACGCCTCGGGTACCGTGTGCTGCCAGCCTGTCCTTCCAGAGAACGGGGGAAGCTGCAGAGTGAGCCCAGCCCTCCTTTCCTGGGGATGCTTTCCCACTTTGAGTTCTTGAGTCTGTAAGATGGGGGAGCTGTTGCATTGTACAAAAACGGCAGGGAACGATCCTGCTCCTCGGGAGCCCTCTGTCTCCTTGCTGCCAGGCCAGAGGAGAGAACGCTGTCCTGGTGCTCGGCCAGAGGTGGGAACACTGTCCTGGTGCCAGGCCGTACGTGAGAACACTGTCCTGGTGCCAGGCCACAGGTGACAACGCTGTCATGGTGCCAGGCAGAGATGAGAACGCTGTCCCGGTGCCAGGTCAGACATGAGAATGCTGTCCTGGTGCCAGGCCACAGGTGAGAACACTGTCCCGGTGCCCGGCCATACGTGGGAACGCTGTCCTGGTGCCAGGCCATACGTGAGAATGCTGTCATGGTGCCAGGCCAGAGGTGAGAACGCTGTCCTGGTGCCAGGCAGAGGTGAGAACGCTGTCCTGGTGCCCCAGCTCTTACCCTCATGGCCCGGCAGGCTCAGGGCAGGCCGTGCTGAACCTGCCCAGGGCACACAGACCCTCAGCACTGCTTCTGGATTTATTTAAGGTGAGCTGGTTTTATTAAGGTGTGGCATTGTCCCTGGGGTGCCCTGGTGGGTGGTGAAGCCCCAGCATGCGGTGGTGCCCTGGCCTTGGTGTGCCAGCCCCACACTGCCAGTGAATGACACCTCACACCCAAAACCACCACGGGCTGGTGACAGGCTTGTCCTCAAACGGACTCGCTTCGTCTGGTGGAACCAAACCAAGATAATAGTAGCTGGAGTGCACCCTTCTGTGCATTTTTAATCAAAAAAACAGATTTAAAGTCATGAGCAAAGTAATTGTAATGTCTGATTGCTTAATCTTTTAGCAGATTTGTTCTTTGAGAAATAAAATAATGTGCTATTTTTTTTTAATTTCTTGCATTATTATTTGAAGGCTTCTAGCTGTTGGTACCTGGCTTATTTAAAAAGTGCTTTAGCTGTGGTGGATGAGCACAGATGAGCACTGAGTGTCCTGCAGGGATGGCACCCCTGCCTCAGTTCTGCATTGCACGGGCACAGCTTTGTCAGGGAAGGTCCAGAGGCACAACTGGGAAAAGCCAGCTGTGCTGGCAAGGAGCCTGTCTGCCTCAGCCCACACCCGTGGGCAGGCTCTGCCCACCAGCTCAGGGCTCTCCTCAGCCAGCTCTGTGCCCCACACCTTGGGTTTTCTCACCCCCACGGTGGCCTGGCAGGGACACGGGCTCGCCCAGAGCATGGATTGCTTAATTTGGAAACAGGGGTGGAGGAAATATTATGGGGAGAAACAGATATATTGCAGGGCTGTGAATAAAAATAGAGACTAAGGCCAGTGATAGTTTAGAAAAATAGCCTGACCCAAAAGCCCTGTTACCTGCAAAAGGCCATTTCCTTCTGACAGGTGTGGCTGTCACCTGCAGGCATTGGGGCTTGGTGTTCCCCAGGCAGGCAGGGTCAGAGCACTGGGGGCTGCCAGGGGCCCACTGTGGCTGGCAGGCAGCGCTGAGGAGTGGGATGGAGCTGGGGCAGAGCTGACATGAGGAGAGGGCTGCTGGCACCCTGGGCAGCCCCTCATTCCACCTCTATGGACAGACACACTGGTGGGTTTGAGTTCTTGTGGATTTGAGGGGCCCAGCACAGCTGGACACACAAGGCAAAGCCAGGGAAAGAGCCAGGGCTGTGAGCAGGGCTGGGCTCTGATGAGCTGGGTCAGGGGAAAACAGCTCCACGTTGGCTTCTGAAGGTGACATTGAGCCTGCTGGATGGAAGGACAATGACTGCCCATCCCTGAGGGCAGCTTCCAGTCGCTGGACAGCTGGAAAGCGCAGGGAGGGTGGCTGGACCCGATGCTCTCAGAGGGGTTTTCCAATCTAGATGATGCTGTGGTTGCATGGTTTCAGCAGCCAGAAATGCTGGTGCCATGCAGATGGGATGGGCACCACCTGACAGGCAGCACAGGTACCCAGTCCTGTGCCAGCAGGGCTCAGTGCCCCTCCCCTGGCCTGCCTGAACACAAAGATGTGCTGCATTGCCTGTCTCCTCCTCCTTGATTCTGGAATTTCAATAACATGCTCCCTCAACACCTGCACTCTCTTCACGTTGGAGTTTTGTGTCTCAATCTCTTAAAGTTCTTCCTTGTTCACATTTATTTCTTACACAATTTATTCCTTTTTTTGTTCAGATGACTTCTCAGTCTCCATCAGCAGCCTGCCCCAATTCCCCCAGCACTGCCCGAGCCATGTGTAGAGCTCCTTTCCAGAATAGACAGGAATTTGTTGTTCTACCAGCTGCTGATTTAAGTATTTTTCTTAAGCCAAATTTTGCACGGAAAAGAGTGTCCAGTAATTCAAAATATTGCTCTTCTGGATATTCCATCTCCTCTCTTCTATCCAAGCAGCATTAGCTGAGGGATAATGTTCAACTCACCATGGTGGGAGAATGAAGAGCTGCTCTACACCTCATTTGTACACAAAAGAAAGAATAAACTTTTATTTACAGCTTTGCAGTCTTCAATTTATAATGTTTACAGTCTCTACAGTTGCAGTTTAGAGTACACAGGAGCTCACCACTGCCACAACCACAATGAAAAGCTTGCACCAAAAATGAGTTCATCTTCACTTCAAAAATCGCTCTGGAATGCAGGCTGGAGTGTTGCTCCAGCAGAGACAAGGAATGCAATATTCCACTGCAACGGGAGGAGAAAGTGAATTCAGTGATTATTATGCATAAGCATCCCAAACAAGCAGAACCGGGGAAATAATAAGATAACTAATATTTTTGAGAAGCTGCTAATTGGAAAAAAAACCAGAGACACAGAAGCAAAAGAATTCTGGTAATAACTCTTCAAAAAAGAGAGAACTGGCGTCTGGCATGGATCCCCACTGCTTCCGAGCTTGTTCAATTAAAATCAACACTGAATGGGTTTTCTTTCACTACCAATGCTCAAGCTGCATCCTTCAAAAGGATGGCAAATGATTGATATGCATATGAAAGAACTACAGAGTATGAAATTACAGAATGATACAGGGTTTGGATATTTGCACTTTGAGATATTAAATCTTCTGAAGGAAAATATTTGAGCAAATTCTGAATAAAGAACCCTACAGAGGAGGAAGAAAGAGCAGCAAGATAATCTAATAAGGCAGAGACAGAGCAATTTCCAAGTGCTGAATTCCTCAGCTGAACCATGACACGGAGTTTGCAGCCCAGAATCTGCTCTTCTCTCTGGCCTGGCCATTCACTGCCAGGGTCTTGTGCATGTTCAGAACACAA